GGGGGGGGGGTGAAGGTTACTTCGCGTGGAAAGTTTAACGTTTCTGAACAGGGAAAGGTGTAGAATAGTACTTGATATCATACGTATATAGCAGAAATGAAACGTATATTTTAGAACTATGATTGTTAATAACTTTTTAACGAAGGACGAGCGACGGCTAAAACCTGTAGGAGGTTACTCAGGATCATGACCTTGACATCATATGTCAAGGTCAAGGTCATCGGAGGATGGTCCCCTTTTGTAAAGGTTTACCAAATAATTTTCTTACAACAGTTGGGAAACTGATCAGTAACTGTACATCGATTTACATGAACACATAAAAAATGTACTAAGGTGCCTAGCTTTTAAAAATATTGTTACGTGATCAACGCTGCGCGGGGCCCTTCCGACCATGGGGCCCGGGGCTATAGACCCCCCAAGCCCCTAGCTAAATCCGCCTCTGGCTTCTCTATATTCATTAAATAATGTATCGTCAAGTAATGAATAAAATGAGTAAATATTAGCAGCAACGGAAGCTTTTATAACCATTTTAATACCATTATCCACGTAAATAGTACGCAGAATATACGCAGAAATAGTACATTATTTTTAAATCTTGTTTGGTTAATAACTTTTTAACGAAGGACGAGCGACGGGAATGGTCAATGACCTTGACCTTCTTGAGGGTCAAGGTCGAGGTCAAGGTCACTCGGAAGTCTTTTGAGGCTGACTGTGTAATTCGAAATATTTACCCAATCTACATTATAATAGCAATGCTAAATAATTATTACTTATATATGCAACAAAAGAATATATACTTTATGTATGTTTACTTTGAACTGGCACCTTCAATAATATATGAGTCATTTTTCATGGTAATATGTACCATTTCATTATCTTTCAATAATAAAATGTATTACGTTATAATAAACAATTTGGTATAAGAATTCCTTTAAAATTAATATTGATCTTCTGTGATTTATTTTTAAAAAACTGTTATATACATATATATATATATATATA